ATATAGACTCAAAAGGTTACACACACACACACACACACACACATATATATATATAAATATATAGTAGACCATAATACAGAGAGTAGAGGATATTGAGTAGATGCATATTTAGAGCAAATAATGGTAACATATTAAGCATTTAAAAAATAGAGGGGCTCAACTTTCATAACTTGCAAAATATACAAATGAATCTCCAGATTACCATTTACAATTAGAAGCAACAAACTAATGTAAAGCACAATTTACAAGTGACAGAGAAATGACTACGAATTAACCAGTAACTATACAAAGGTCGATTAATATAGCCAAAAGTTTTCTTGGATTTGATCGATGTTGTCGACTGAAAGTGATGGCTAATCATCAGTCATAAGAAGTTCAGATAAAGAATTGAGTTGCGCTTGCGATTCTGGATCAATGTCCTCCGAAAACAAGTCTTCTGCTGCTATTGTATAAGAAGAGTTCATTAATGTGATGTTGGGCAGATCATCAAACAGTCCTGCAAGAGTCTCATCATCATCATGTGCTGGAAGTTGCTGATCAATATCAAAGGATGTATTGTTGGGTAGTTTCGGTGGAAGCAACTGATCAGGCTGACTATCCATTATTGTTACTGTGGACACAGATTGATCAAAGTTTTATGGAGTTGTTGAGACCTCATCATGATCATATCTCATCTTCTTACTATGTCTAAGGTTTTCTTCTTTGGATACTTCATGAGCATGATGCTTTGGTGCTCTCTTGAGATGTTTAGAATCATCTCTTTTGATTTTGCAAACTACATAATCATGAGTGCCTTCTTCTATTCCATTCAAACTCACACCGCCCAATGAATACTCGTGCATAGTCCAATGACCTTTTGGCATGATCAAGAACTCATCTTTCTTCACATCTACTTCAAAACACAACATCTTCTTGGATCCGATAAGCTCTTTCTCTTCATTATAAATCTTCTTGATGCCGGTTTGGCCATCCCATGTCCCACATCTGGCTCTCCGAACAATTCTCTTATTCTCGCGGTCAATTTTCTTCAACTGGGTGAAGACGTAGATAACAAATTCGTTGGACTTTAATGAATACAATGGATCTTGCACCGTTAATATATTCCACGGTGCTTCACCATAAACATCACACTCCAAAATTACACCTTCGCAAGGTAACGATTCTTGCTTCACTTTTCTTCTGAGATAGTGGGTGAGGAGTTCTTCTTCTGTGGGAGCGAACTGAAATCCTACAGGCATGAACAACATATTTGTGCTATTAGGATTAAGAAAAAGTGGGCTAAGGCGATGCTGGAAAAAGAGCGAATAAGAGGAGGCGCTGCTGATAAAAGAGGGAATAAGAGGGTGGAGGCGGTGCTGATAAAGAGGGCTAAGGCGATAAGTATGTGTATATATAGAAATAACGAGGGCTGAGGCGGTGCTAAATTAAGTGTAGTTTACTTGGTAGAGAAGTAAGAACGTTTATGGAAATTATATATATGTATATCTATCTGTATGTGATCATATATATATGTATACTTGGGAGAGAAGTAAGAAGGTTTATGGAAATATATATATATATATATATATATATATATATATATATATATATATCTATTTGTATGTGAGCGTATATCTATTTTTTCACTTCTTTTTTTTCACAGGTATATTCAGACATGAACTTAAATATGTTACCTTTCCAAAAAAAAAAAAAAAAAAAAAAAAAAAAAAAAAAACTTAATTAGAATGTAGTGACTTGGGAGGAAAGGAACATAGATATTGTAATAACAAAAAAGATTCTAAAAGATATCATGAAATCTTTCTACTTTGATTACATGAGAGAGAGAGAGAGAGTAGGGAAATTAAGATCCAATGACAAAATCCGTGTTACATATTAATGTACTCATAGTTGCACTTTCTGTTTGGCTCCTATGATGGAGATGGGTACATAAGGAAGTATATGACTAGGTTCCAGACAATTTTAAACTTTCACCAATGGGATATTAGTTAGAATAAAAATGTACTCTCAGCAAATTCATGCTAACATCTTTGTTATCTTGTAGACAATTTTTACTTAACATGTTTTTTTAATCAGTTCAGTAATATATTCCAATAACTAATAGTCGAAGCTTATAGGTAGTGAAATTAATGACCAATGTTTTTTTAATCAGTTCAGTAATATATTACTAATAGTTCAGTAATATATTCCAATAAATAATAGTTTCTAAGTCAAAACTAAGCTAAGCAAATGATACTTATTTTGGCATGAAGAAGGGCACCTCTCTTTAAATCATGAGCCTGCTATGGTAGCCTCCAGCCTTAGTACGTAGAAACGCCAAACTTAAAGAAGCTAGCTCTTTCCAATGGTCAGCGGCAAATGCAGCTCATTCCTATTACTCAGAACCGGCTCACCATCAATTAGTTTACTGATCAAAAGACCAGGGAATCTTCCTCCACGAGAACATGGAGTCGCATTGTCATATCTTCTTCAATTGTCCAAAGTCTCTTAATCTTGGAATACTTCGCTCAAAAGAACATTATAATGAAACTATCATGTTGTTGAATCCTTCTTCAATTGTCCGTAATCTCTTAATCTTGGTAGGTTCTTGCAATGGACTGATCTGTGTGATTCGTTCCAGAGGTATTAAAAATGAAACTATCATGTTGTTGAACCCTCATTCTATGAAAAAGCACCAAATTTTACCTCCATTGAAAGCTCAACACAATGTACATTATGGAATAGGATATGATCCTATCAATGATGATTACAAGATTAGGTATTAGGTAACTGTGATCTTCTAATTAAATTTTCAGCTCTGTGCTGACTGCTGATGGTATTCTCAGAGATGGAATGTGTCTGTAGAAACTAGAAAGTGCAATCACTTTTGGAAAATTATGCCAAATGTTCTATGGAACCAACACCATTAATTGGCTTTACTTACCATGTTTTTTTAATCAGTTCATTAATATATTCCAATAACTTACCTTGGATCAGTTCAGTAAAAAGAGGGTCAAATTATATGCTGAAGGGTAGAAGCTTATAGGTAGTGAAATTAACCTTTTTTTATTTTATTTTTTTAAGGTTAAGGTGTGCAATGAAAATGATTTTTGGCGTGAAGAATGGCCTCTCTCTTTAAATCATGAGCCTCCAGCCTTAGTGGTAAGGCCATATATACTCTCAGAATCTCTTTCCAATGGTCAGTGGGCAAATGCAGCTTATTTCTATATATTACTTTGAACCTGCGTGCCATCAATTAATTTGCTGATTAAACACTAGGGAATCTTCCTCCACTGCTTGCACCTTGTGTAACAAGAACATGGAGTCACATTGTCATCTCTTCTTCAATTGTCCGCACTCTCTCTTAATCTGGAATACTTTGCCCAAAAACTGAACTACCATTATTTTTTGTCATGGCCTCACTTGATTACCAAAATTGGACAGGATTGGAAACTCACTCTTGCAGCCATGGTTTACTGTCCACTTGAAAAGGTTTGGGAATTCAAAACTGCCAGAGGAAATGAAGCACCCCTTAAATTGAACTCAACCAAGAGCTTATCTTGGATCGAGTTCCATTAATTTCCTCTAAACTCAAAGCTGTAGACTGTAAACTTCTATTGGCCATGAAGATTTTCAATGACCTTAATTAACTTTTCAGAAGATTCTTGTGGACTGAAACTGAGATGATTGAGGCCTTATGGGGATAAAGTTGCTTGGAAGAAGTGATTTTACCTAAAAAGTTTGGCTAGCTGGAATAGAGATAGAGTTCTTATTGTGAAGCAACATACAATGATACATCTGATGTAAACTAATTATAAACTAATGTAATCCCCAAGCTAAGGGTCAATCCTGGAGGTTGTTATAAACTAAGAAGGGAGTTCTTGGTGAGACCACCACCACCATTACAAACTAATTTATTTTGAAATTAATTAAAACCTCATCCAATTAGGATAGAACTGTCAAATCACAGTGCAGCTTCACTTGATGAACAAACTAGGTTTCCAAAGCCTTGTCACAGCCAAATACACTTGCTTGAATGGTGTACACAGTTAGATAAGCAAGGTAACTCAATAACAGCTCCCAATAGGCTTAAACCCTAAATTTAAGGGTAAAAGGGTCACTTCACAATGCAGCTCCAAGAATTATCTTCAATTTCCTTCCACAGCTCTATACAGCTAAGACACACTTGCTTTGCTTAAGAGATAAAATCAGTGAAACCAGCAAGATATAGCAATGTAAGAACACAACTGCCTTATAATCTTCAAAACCTAGTTTTAGCCTCTCAAGGGTAAAACTGGAATTTCACCTGAACCTGAAGTTAAACCTGGTTTCCGCAGCCTTGATAACTCAATACATACTTATTCAACAGGTTGAAACCGTGGATGGAGAAAGATAAAATAATCTCAGTTCACAATAGGCTTGAAACACATTAAACCCTAGCGACGGTAAAAACATCTTGGGAGAGTTTTTGATATTGCTGTGTTTAATCATGTTGGTATTCATCCCTATGCTTTGGTATTAGATGCTTCCCTTGTCAACATGAAGTCGAGAAAAATGCAGAGACATTAGGGTTCTTATCGATTTTAACTGTCTAATAAAGTCCGGAGTTGCAAGCATAAATTGATCCAGTGGACTAGAAATCGGAGTTGGAACTCCAGAGAGAAAATAGAGGAAGTGGAAGCTCAACTTTTTGAGTTCACTCTACAAAACAAATATATTTCCTCAGTATTCTTCTAAGGCGGCCACAGTAAAAAATGGTGCCTAATTTCAAAGGTCAGCGAATTGGTGGAATATACCTCCTATTCAGCAATTTTTTACACCCAAAGACTGTTTGAATTCTCAAAATTCCAATGACAAGCAAATTTGGGCTTTTTCTAGAGATGGATGTTTTAAGGTGAAATCAGCTTACCAAGTAGCTTTAACATTGGTTCAGCATAGTAATAGCTCTTTTGTTAAGGCTACAGTAATAACATATTAGAGCTTAAAAAAAAAAAGGAAACAGAAGGAAAATTGAAAACTGACAATGCTAACAACCTCCGATCATAAATATATATACCTGCCCTCTTGGTACAGAAGTCCTTATTTCCAGTGATTACAAGTACAAAAGGTCTAAACACACCATTTTAGACAAGACTAGATTTATGTAAAAGAATGTTTTACACCATGAATGTTGAAGCAAAGGAAATATTTACAATATGTGTTCAATTTGGGACAATTAATCATCTTAAAAAGCAAAATTACAAAAACACCAAGGTGCCTTATAATGTTCATCTGATTGATTCAGTAGCAGCCTCGCTTTGAACAATAACAGGACGAATCCATACAAACTTGCACTTTGCCAGCCTCATCTTCGATCTGTTGGCCCTCTGCGTGAAGAGGGGTTGAGGGGATCCAGACCTGGTTTACTGGAACGCTGAATCCGACAGAATAAACCTGCTTGCACCTTCACTATAGCAATCATCCATGCCAATGGCAACTGATTGGACTTTGTTTTCTCAGCACCATATTACTTCTTCTCAGCCATGAATTCCTGAATTATATAGTTCAGCAAACTCGTCCCTCTCCAAATGATCATGTCTCTATGCCAACATTACAGAACTGTCAAGCTAAGTGGATAATAGCCAAATAGCGCTGCATAAAGGAGAGAACAAAGTGTTCATTATATGTGAAAATCTTTGGCAAGTATAAGGAGGAAGAAAAAGGAAAAACTTACAGAGAATGATTGGACCATATGGTAGACAATGTTAGCATCCAACCTCTCCCGTATGGCCCTATTATCCCTTGGCAAAGCCAGCCCCTGTTCAATAGGTGAGACGCGATTGATGGTGACTTTAAAGCAGAATAATCCACCGTGACCATGCACTTAGGAAGGATGAACCTTGGTGCCAAGGTTTAGCAGAGACCTGTTATCCAGAAATTGTCACAACCTGGATTTTTTTCTTCTTCTCAAGTAACTAGAATTTTTCCCAAATACGAAGAATATTTGGGAGTAGTTGGGGAGTTTCATAAATTTGATAAATAAATAAAAGTTCAGTTAATTCAATGGAAGAATCAGAGTAACTTAAAATTTCCAACAGCAATCATGGTATGGGAAATTGTAAAATAGGAGATAATAATACCTTCAATACCACTGCATCAATTCCAAAATAAAGAAAAATTGAAACTTCCAGCATCAATACTAGATATCTAAACATATGCTAAAAACTTATTTTCGCTTGTTGAAAAGATCACAAAACTTGATTTTTTTCCCCCTAGATCTCAACAACAGGAGGAATGCTGCAAAATAATCGAACTCCAGGAAAGGAATAACCCTACCATGGAAATTGGCCGTTATGATTGAATCATTTCAATTTTTAGATTTGAAATATTAACTAGGTTGAATGCTTCTACAGAAACCCAAAGAACAACAAGAGGAAAATGAGATGCACAAACACCCACATGTGAGGGCACACAATTTCTCTCTTTAAATATTCTTCCAACAAAAATAGGAGTTGCTTTATCCAAAAAGCCTTGGTGCAGAGCATGTTCAAAGTCCATTTAACATATCAAAAATGAAAACTGTGAAGTCCAAATGGTCATTCCATAGATAAGAATAGCTTGTTTTCCCAAAGCTCCTTATGATTATTGGTCCATTCAGATAAATCCTTCATGGACTCAAGGTTACATCTTCCCAGTTCTTCAACTAAAATGGTTAATTTTATGAGAAAAACCAGATCTGAGATGCAATCAAAATCAAATACAGTACTTCTAAAATAGATCTCTCTCCTAGTTCTCTATCCTCCATCAAAACAAGTTGTTTCCTGCTTCCTCATGATGCTTATGACAATCATCACAAACTCGTTTTGTAAAAGATGATTCCCAAATTTTATTAATATTTGGTGGGAAAGGATTAGGTTACCAGGGAATACCTTTTCCATTAGTTGTTTGACGTTGTAACGGAGATTTGAGTTCTTGGATCACCTTTCACATTTATGTAGCAGGTAATCCTTAGCTTTTACCACCAGCAGCTAATCCTCCACATATCATTTAGATATCTCACTGAAAGTTCAATTCGAGTAGAAGATTATACGAAATGGATGCTCAAACTTGGTGTACAGAGTAGGAATCATTTCAAATGAACTCAAAATGCATAATTGCATCTATAACATGCCCATGGAAGATATAATCTTTAATGAGGGATATTGATAAACTTCAGGGATGTAAGTACAATTTACCCTATATTTATTTTTTTGACATTTTGACTGCCTTTAAAACAAAACTAACCAAGTCTGAGTTTTTTCTGTATGGTCTAAGAAAGAAGGGATATTTTATGGGCAATGTTTTAAAGTAGTGACAACTGACTAGTGAAGATAAAAACGAAAAGAATGGGAACATAACAAAGACCAAAGTTGGGGATGTCACAAGAGCAGGAGGAGAGGGAAACAAAAGGGATGAGAGAGAAGAATAATGGGGTGGGTCAGCACTGAGCAGCTCTAGAGTGAGAGAGTAAGGAAGGAAAGGGGAGGAAAGGGAAGGAAAGGAAATCGGTCTAAAGTCCTCAACCCTTAAGGCTTCCTACTTCTGAATGAGAGTAATGAAAGAACTATTTATCCCCTTGCCCAGCACTGGATATTGGAAGAAATGAAGAACTGCATCAGAAAAATCATCCCCAACAATGTTCCAATATTGCTAAAAAAACCTAGCAGTAAATCCATCAGGCCCAGGAGTTTTATCTGGTCCCATGGAAAATACAGTATATTTGATCTCATCCTTGGTTGTAGTAGCCTTAAGCATCCTCAAATCCTCCTCCCCAAGGGTTTTCCTGATATACTCAGCCTTTGGATGATTACACACTGGGCTTTCATTTGCAAAAATCTTCTGGAAATGGTCAACAAACTGCTTTTGTATCAAAACAGGATCAGACACTAACTCACCTTCTGCATCTTGGATAGCTGTGATATTATTTCCCACCCTATGTTCCTTGATTTTCTGATAAAAGAACTTGGAGCATCTATCTTGGTCTTTGATCCACCTAATTCTGATCTTTTGGGACAACAAAATTTCCTCATTCAAATGCTGAATATTTAATTTTATCGAAAAAAAAATTCCCAATTTACAATTACCAATTAAAACATCAGCTATTAAAATTTAGCTAATAAAATTTTCCATAAACAATTTTCAAATTTATCTAAGGGCGTCATCATCTGATTGTACTACATGATTGTCCATGTTCCCCCCAATCTATGCAGCAGTGGCTCAAAAATCTGATGGACATCCTTGCCAAATTCTGATATCAGAGAGGATTTATTGAGTCTGGTAGCCTATATGTGGTGGAACCTTTGGAAGAACAGAAAGAAGTTTATTGTTTTATATTGTCTTAACTCGATATTGTTTCGGTTGCTGTGAACTAATGGAGTGAATTGAGGGTTATTTTATTAGATAACAAAGCTTCTGGTAAGGGTGCTGCTAACAACCCTGATGTTAAAATTTGAGACACGAAATTGATACTCTTAGAAGAAGTTTAGCATTGCACCAAGGTACGGTCGATGTTGATCCCATAGGTAGTGGTGCTTTGAGGTTACACTAGCAGCAACTGATGTTAAAAAAGGCTACTGGATTCTCAGAGTCTTGTATGCTAAAACTGTTAATTGCAAGACAGCTGCACAATGGTATTGTCTAAGAGCAAAGCATAATGTTTGGAGAGACAAATGGCTAATAATTGCCGGACATCAATGTGTGTTTTATAGGGCTGTGGTTAATTATATATGTTGCTATTGTTGGTTCTAATCTCTATGCTATGGTGTTAGATGCTTCCCTTATCAATTCAAAGTTGAGAAAATGCAGACATTAGGGTCCTAATCTGTTTTAATTGTCTAAAATAAATCCGGAGTTGCAAGCATTGACTAGATTTCAGAGTTGGAACTCCAGGGAGAAATAGAGGAAGTGGAAGCTAAACTTTTTTCTTTCGAAATAGGATAGTACGTGCTGCCAATTCCAAGTACAGTCATTGGGGACTTTTTAACTGATTTCTCCCAAGTCCAAGAACAATCATTTGGGACTTTTTAACTGCCTTCTCCAAATTGCAACAGCTCTACATTTACATAAATAACATCTTATCAAGAAATTAGCAGCAGAGTAGTAACCAGCAGCAGTCAGACTATTGCCAAGCAATCAAAACAAGCAAGAAGCATGAATTAATTAGTAGCTAGTACAAGTATATTTGGGAATATGATAGAAGCTAAAGAAAAAAAAAGAAAAAAAATCTTCATTTCTTGTGGAACTGCCGCCATGGAAGAATTCTGGTTTTTTTTCTGAACTTGAAACATGAGGGTGCTTTGGATGATGATACTTCTTAAAGTTTGTGGTCTCGGTTTTGAATCAGTAAGATGAGGGGTCATCTCACCAATCTATGCAGAAGTGGCTCAAAAATCTGATGGGCTTTGTAGGCAAATTCTGATATCAGAGAGGACTTATTGAATCCAGTAGCCTATATGTGGTGGAACATTTGAAAGAACAGAAATAAGTTTTTCTATTATTATTATTTTTTATTTTTTGTATATTGTCTGAACTTGATGTGGTTTCTGTTGCTGTGAAGCAATGGAATGTATTGGGGACTACTTTAATAGACAACAAAGTTTCTGGTAAGGCTGCTGCTAACAACACTGATTGTTGTTCGAAACCTCCTCTCTTGGGCTCTTTGAAGTTGAATTTCGATGCTGAATTCCAGAAATCTATTAGAGTGGCTACAAGAGGAGTATGTTGGAGAAAGTTAATTTGACTAATAACTCCTTAGAATTTCATAAGCAGCACAAATTCATCATATATATATATATATATATATATATATATATATATATATATATAGTATATTGATCCCGAAGAAGTGTGAGATTGCACCAGGGTGTTGATGTTGATCCAATATGCAGCGGTGCTTTGAGGTTCCACTAGCAGTTATTGTTGTTAGAAAAGGCAATTGGATTCTCAAAGTCTTGTTTGTTAGTGCTGTTGATTGCGAGAGAGCTGCACAATGGTATTATCTATGAGCAAAGCAGAGTATTTGGAGAGACAAATGGCTAATAATTTCCGACTTCATTCTTATGAGAAGTTTTGTGGGCTTAATAAACTTGCCTAGGTGTTTCAAGAAATTCAAGACTCGTATGTTGGGGCCTGTGGCATAGAGGTTTTAGGTTTTGATGAATTTCTACTAAATTGTAACAATATATAATAGGAAAGGTTTGGCAGAGGTTTAGCTAAAATCCAGTAGAGATTATGTTTTTGATATTGCTTTGTTTAGTCATGTTGGTACTTTTCTGTATGCTTTGGTATTAGATGCTTCCCTTATCAACACGAAGTCAAGAAAAAAACAGAGACATTAGGGCTCTAGTCTATTGTAATTGTCTAATAAAGTCCGGAGTTGCAAGCATAAATTGATCCAGTGGACTAGAAATCAGAGTTGGAACTCCAGAGAGAAAATAGAGCAAGTGGAAGCTCAACTTTTTTTCTTTAAAAGATGATACAACTGCCAAGTACAAGTACTGTCATATAGGACTTATTAACTGATTTCTCCAAATTGCAACAGCTGTACATTTACACACATAACATCATCTAGAGAAATCACACTACTGCCAACCAATCAGAACAAGTAAGAAGCATGAATTCATTAAGTTTGCTTTTAGTGTTAATATGCTAGCAAAACAGAGGTGGAGAATGAGAATTGAGGATGGGAGGGTTTTTTTTTTTTTTTTCCTTAATTAATTAACTAGTGATTCTAACAAGAAACCCTGCACTCACGTGTCCAGCCTTTGACCTTCTACCTTAAAAGATGAGAAATACCACGTATTTGGAGGTCAATATGAGTTCACTCTACAAAACAAAAATATTTGCTGAGTGTTCTTCTATGGTGGCCACAGTAAAAAATGGTGCCTAATTTCTAAGGTCAGCGAATAGGTGGAATATATCTCCTATTCAGCAATTTTTACACCCGAAGACTCTTTGAATTCTCAAAATTCCTATTAGGAGTCTAGAAGTGATGATAAGGAAATTTGGGCTTTTTCAAGAGATGGATGTTTCATGGTGAAATCAGCTTACCAAGCAGCTTTAACATTGGCTCAGCATAGTAATAGCTCTTCTGTTAAGGCTGCAATTATAACATATTAGAGCAAAAGAAAAAAAAATATCTTCATTTCTCATGGAGTTGCTGCCATGAAAGAATTCGGGTTTTTCTGAACCTGAAACATAAGAGTACGGTGGATGCTGATACTTGTTGTTTCGGTTTTAAATCAGTATAGATGAGGAGTCATCTCACCAATCTATGCAGCAGTGGCTCAAAAATCTGATGGCCTTCCTAGCCAAATTCTGATATCAGAGAGGGCTTATTGAGTCTGGTAGCATATATGTTGTGGTGAAACCTTTGGAAGAACATAAATAAGTTTATTTTTTATATTGTCCGAACTTTATGTTGTTTTTGTTGTTGTGAACCAATGGAGTGAATTGAGGGCTGTTTTTAATAGATAACAAAGCTTCTGGTAAGGCTGCTGCTATAGAAACCTCATCTCTTGTGCTCTTTTAAGTTGAATTTCGATGCTGAATTCTAGAAATATACTAGAGAGGCAACAAAAGCAGTACGTTGGAGCAAGTTAATTTAACTAATAGCACCTCAGAATTTCATAAGCAGCACTAATTCGTCTTATAAAACATTAGGGTTTTAATCTATTTTGATGGTCTAAGAAAGTCTGGAGTCGCAAGCATAAATTGATCCAGTGGACTAGAAATCAGAGTTGGAACTCCAAGGAGAAATAAAGAAAGTGGAAGCTCATCTTTTTCTTTTGAAGAGGGTAGTACTGCCAAGTCCTAGTAGTCATTTGGGACTTCTTTAACTGCTTTCTCCAAGTCCGAAAACAATCATTTCGGACTTCTTAACTGCCAAAAAAAAAATCATGCAAACTACTATAAGAAGAAGGAGAAGTGGAAGAAATTGCAAGAGTTCAACAGTCCGAAAAAGTTTGGCAAGACTGAGAAGCTGAGGTTCAAAAAATCTTTCTGGAATACTTCCAATCCATTTCCCAGTCCAAGAATTCTTTTGTGCTTGATCCTATCCTCGAACAAGTGCCTCCAATAATAATAACTCATGCCATGAATCAAGAGTTAGGCAAGACCGGATTTATGTAAAATCCAAGGTGCCCTCCAATGTACGTCTGATTGATTCAGTAGCAGCAGCCTCACTTTGAACAGCACGCGTTGACGAATCCATCTATTTGTTGCAGATAATCAGGATTATCCTATATGTATACATTGATTAATAAATATCTACTGTGGTACTCTTATTATGAATGCAGTTACTCCTACATAGGCTATTCTTTATATTATCAAGTAATAGAGACTCACAATCACTGCTTGCACATAATTGTTCAGAACCTTTAATTTCTGTCCTCTGTTTTGCAGATTACTTCGTCAATTTTCTTAAGCAATTCACAAGCTATCTTCAACTTGCCAGCAAATTCAAATGCATGTTCAAAAGCTTCCCTAATTTACATTGGAGGGCAAACACCCTTTTCAGGCATCGATTTCAGCTTCTCATAAGCAGCCTCCAGTTGACCCATTTTACAATGCTTGTCCAACATCTAGGCTTCTATTTTGCCTTCCAATTTAATTGATAAATCCACCCACCCATGTTCCCTCAGAAGTTTAGCCACTAAATTATACGTGTGAAAATGTGGAAACCAGCCTAATCCCTACATTTCCACTAATAAGCTGTAAGCAGCTTCCCAATTCCGCGCTTCACCAAAAGCGTGGATTAATGCAGTAGATGTTACATTATCCGGAAGGCATCTCTTCTTATTATAATCTTAAAGACCCTTTCAGCACGTTCCGCATTGCCTAGTTTGCAGAGAATACAAATAATGGAATTGTAAACAACTACTTTCGGGTTGAAGCCCTGCAAAAGCATCCTCCCAAACAAATGGCTAACTTCTTCCACCTGACGATGTTCACATAAACACTGTATCACAACAGTGTAACTCTCTTCCATAAATCTCAGCTTCCTCTCCTTTACAACCTTCAAAACCTTGAGAGCTTCTTCCATCTTTCCCAATCAACAAAGCTCTGAAAGAAGCTGTTTAATAACAAATATGCTGCGTAACAAACCTAAATCATAAGTTGCCCAAAATACTCCAGTTGCAGGCAGTATAGCACCAGTATTTGAGCACAAATTTGGTATTAAAATGGTACAAGCTCTCCGAGCATCTTTCACCCTAATTTTCCCAATAGCTCCTTCTTTTGCATTTAGTAGACACAAATCCCCAATAAGAACGTTAATTGCAGTCCGTGTTGGAGCCAAACCAGCATTAATAATTTCACAAAAAAATTCTAGGGCAGTCTCAAATCTACTAAATTTACATAAACCAACAAGAATATTACTATAAGAATAAGTAGCAGGGGATCCAATCATTCCAAAAATCATAATTGCAGTATCAATGAATTACCCCAAACATTCCTTCTTACAAAGCACATACAACAAATTATTGTACACAAGGTTATCAGGTTTACAGTCGAACTTGGACTCCATTTCATCAGAACTTGCAGAACAAGTTCTAAACTAAGCTCATCTATGAAGTTACTCAGCAAATTGTCAAAACTAGCTGTTTCAGTGCTATGACTAGAGAGTATAGAACACACTGAATTGACATAAGAGGGGCTTACAGAATTTGAAGTTTCAGACTGAATTGACATAAGAGGGGCTTACAGCATTTGAAGTTTCAGAGACTTCTGATGATGATGAAACTCTGGAGGAAAACCTAAAATCCGAAGTGATTTGAATGGTGAGTTTTGGGTTTTGGGGGGCATATTTGGGATGAACAAAACTAGGGTTAGGGTTTTATGAAAATGGAGTAGCAATGAGGAACCTAGATAAATTTGAACAAAGGGCAAAATATAAACCATAATCACATCTGATTCAAGTGTAAAACAAGTAGCTAAAACAATATCACATAAAAATTCAATCTTTAATAGAAGAAAACTGAAAACCTGGAAAAAAATCGAATTTGCTTTGGCTTAGAATTATTTTAAATGGGCTCTGGGATTTTGCACTGAAGTAATTTGAATCTTTTTGCTAAATTCAATCGTTTTGGCACTCAATTTGCAAGCCCAAATAGTTGGGGTCTTGGCATCCCAAAAATTGAACTATTGAACAAAGCACCTGTCCTAAAGAATTTATGGCAACTTATCTCAAACAATACACGAAGTTGGCACAATGGGATAGAGAATACCTTATTAGAGGAAAACGCATTTGGGAGAAAAAATTCCCTCAAAAATGCTCCAGGAATTGGAGAAAGCAGATGCAACTCAGAGCTCTAATTAAGCCTCTTCTCAAGATCAAAGTGGGCAATGGATCCATATGTGGCATTTGTGGGATAAAGAATACCTTATTAGAGGAAGATGCATTTGTGGCATGGTCAAGCACTCATCTTGCTTCACATCTGCTTCAAAAATCTAGAACTTAGAATACATAAAGGTAACAAAAAATGTAATGCCTAAGTGAAATACTGTCACCATTCTAAATACCTTATTAGAGGAAGATGCATGGGATAGAGAATACCTTATTAGAGGAAGATGCATTTGTGGCATGATCAAGCACTCATCTTTCTTCACGTCTACTTCAAAAATCTAGAACTTAGAATACGTAAAGGTAACCATAAATGTCACCATTCTAAATTTTAAACTGAAAATCCATTATAAATTTGTCCTTAAGATTTTACACCTCTTCAAGTCCAAGTACAATCATTTGGGACTTCTTAAATCTTAACAGCCAAAAGTTCCTCCATTTTATCAAGGAGTCTCTTAACCAACATCTTTATGAATTGTAATTCATTTCTTTTCCTTCTTGTTGCCAGTGAAAGAAGTTACATTATTCTCTCTGAATGAAGCTACAATGGAGAGTTGCATGGCTTTTTTTCAAGGTGTTAAAGCTACAATGGAGAGAAAAAAAAAAGAAAAAAGAATGAAATTCCAAAATTCATTAATTAGGAAACCTACAAGTTCACATTCAAATTGAGGATGATTTTAAGTGAACCAACTCACAAAGGATTTAAGAAATTTCAGATGGGATGAAAATCAGTCATAACATGGGAAAATTTAGGTAGTCATGAAAACATTTTTGTGATCGAAAAATCAACGGCCAAATGGAAAGGTCTGATTAGATCTTTGTCAAAGCCTGACAAGAAACTGATGAAATAAAACCATGTAAAAAGTAGATCCATTGAAAACCCACAAAGGGTCATTTACTGCCCTCTCACAAAACCCACAAAATGAAAGGAAGCAACCTGTGTTAAGTTATCATAGCAGATATTTAAAAATCAATTTTAATGTTTCAAATCACATGCATGTCTGGTAATGGATTCTGAAGGCTAGTATAGAGCAAATAATTTACGAAAAGAAGAAAAAAAAGGTATAATATGCAAAGCATCACACCGAGTTCCCACAAACACAGAGACATTACCCAGCTTTAGAGCAAAGTCCTGGGGATAGAGGACTGAAAGCGACTGCTTTTAGGCTTGAACTCGCAACAATGGCACACTGGATAGGCACTACATCACACAATGCTAAAGAGTTTCAACCAGTGAAACCAATGTCTATAAAATCTGAAAATTACCAGACTATTTTGTCTCCAAAATAAATTCGAAGCAAGTAAAACTGAATCAGAAGCTTATGAACTACAACCACTTTTGCATCTCCTCGAGTTATATTCCTTTCAATTCTTAAGGACAAATAAATTACAGATAAGACTTTATTCAATTCTTGTCGAACATTTTATTTTTGATACTTGATATTAGTCTGACTATGGTAACAAGGCCAGGAGAACAAAAGGGGGTAATCTAAAATTCAAGCACCATGGTAACTGAAGACACTGCTATATAATCAACTTGCATGAATGAAAAAATCTGAAATAAAGAGTTAAGACTGAAACTAAGTGACACATACCTACTCCAAACCCATGCAACTCTGGAATGTCAACTATCCTTGAACATAGAAGCAAGACCCTGACAATTTGATGAGCTCCTATCGTAAGCTAATTGAACTGTGATACAGCTCATCCTCTTCTCTTTTCCTTAATGATGGCCTAATGTAGACACTGGACAATTCAAAATAAATTAACACGGATGCTGCAATATATAGGAGTCTGTCAACCATCTCAGAAATGTCTAATGCCAGCAATGAATAATCAAGAAAACTTGGATGCATATATATATATATATATATATATATATATATATATATATATATTTGATGCAGATAATCAGGATTATCCTATATGTATACATGGATTAATAAATATATACAGTGTTACTCTTATTATGAATGCAGTTACTCCTACGTAGGCTATTCTTTATATTATCAAGTAATAGAGACTCACAATCACTTCTTGCACATAACTGTTCAGAACCTTTAATTTCTGTCTCCACTGTTTTGCAGATTACTTCGTCAATTTTCTTAAGCAATTCACGAGCTGTCTTCAACTTGCCAGCCTTTTCAAATGCATGTTCAAAAGTTTCCCTAATGTAGATTGGAGGGCAGACACCCTTTTCAGGCATAATCCAGGGATCCTCTTCGGTAGGTGTACCACATCCAACGGATCACAGCCTTTACAAGTGTGGAGACCCACACGTGTGTGATCTCGGATCCATTGCTGTACGGCTAAGGATTTGAGCTCAATTTGATGTCTCTAAGTTGGGATTGTCCAGACAATGCATACTTTACAAGTATTAAGTCAAAATCAGTTGTTGCCAGAGAAAGAAGTTATATTATTCTCTCTGAATGAAGCTACAATGGAGAGTTGCATGGCTTTTTTTCAAGGTGTTAAAGGTCTAAGGTGTTAAAGCTACAATGGAGAGAAAAAATAAGAAAAAAGAATGAAATTCCAAAATTTATCAATTAGGAACCCCACAAGTTCACATTCAAATTGAGGATGATTTTAAGTGAACCAACTCACAAAGGATTCAAGAAATTTCAGATGGGATGAAAATCAGTCATAATATGAGAAAAAATAGGTTATAAACAAAATCTTGACCAAATTAGTCATGAAAACAGTTTTGTGAGCCAAAAATCAACGGCCAAATGCAAAGGTCTGATTGGATCTTTGTCAAAGTGACAAGAAACTGATGAAATAAAACCAAGTAAAAGAGTAGATGCATTGAAAACCCACAAAGGGGCATTTACTTCCCTCTCACAAAACCCACAAAATGATAGGAAGCAACCTGTGTTAAGTCATCCTTGATTAAACCAAGCCAAGTGGAACAAACTAAAAGCTAAAAATACAAGCACATATGCCTTCAACAATGGTATCTAAAAGTCTTTAGAAACACAAATTAAGCACTGCTCACAAGACATCATTCAGAATTTAATATTGGCTTCAAAAAGTCTGACGTTTATACCTTAATGAATTAGATAAGAATGCTCTCCCATTCACCTATAACATGTCAGAATTGAATGAATATAACGCTCAAAAAATTGTGAAGGTGCATGGCATGGCATCCAGTGGCATCTACCTAATAAAAACATTAATTTACAATCAAACTTTCAAGCATGAAGATAAAAAATCCAAACAAAATTATTAAAATTTCAAGAAACTCAAAAACATTTAGTTTGTAAAAAATGAACTAAATATTGACAAATGTTGTTTTCTAATCCAATGATCAGGAACCATGATCTGGACCAAGTCTAAGTCCAGTAGAAATTTATGAATTTATCACCAATAATAGATAATCAGACATATTATTGACAATTCACCGAGCCGGGAAAAAAAAGCTCAAATTTCCTCATTCGAAACTATCAGGAAAATACATCTAAGAGGCACACACACAGAAAACAAACATTCACGAGTACTTTACAAAAGCAATGAATAATGAACAATGAACAAAAGGAAGAACTAGTAACAACACATACAAGATCATCATCTTAAGACAAAAGACTTTCAGAAAAAGCCTTAATGCGTGCCTCCATCTCTAAATCAAAGAAATCAGTTTCAAAATCAAAGTCGCCAAAAAATGACTCAATCTGCTGCAGGTCTTGGTCTTGCACTGTATCACAAGAGTTCATTGTACTGATATCATCATCATGTGGTGGCAGCTGTGTCTGAATATCGGAAGACGTTGCAGTTGCATCAAAATTGTCAAAAAATGAGTCTACTTGCTGCAGGCCTTCTATTGTACCACAAGAGTTGATGTTGGGCAGATCAAAGTGTTTGGCAGTCTCATCATAATATGCTGGGAGAGGTTGAAAATCGGAAGACGCAAGCAGAGTCTTTTGTGGAGGAGTACTTGCAGAGGCCTCATCATGATCATATCGCATCTTCTTCTTCTTCCGACTAGGGTTTTCTTCTTTTGATACCTCACGAACATGCTTTGGTGCTCTCCTCAGAAATTTTGAATCATCCCTTTTTATCTTGCAAACGACATAATCTTGATCACTACCATCTTCTAGCCCATCCAAACTCACACCGCCTAGCGAATACTCATGCATAGTCCAATGACCTCTTGGCATGGTTGACCACTCATCTTTCTTGATATTTGCTTCAAAAGCCAACATTTTCTTAGATCCAATAAGCTGTTTATGTCTATTATAAATTTCCTCAGGCTTGTTTTGCCCATCCCAAGTCCCACACCCGGCTCTCCTTACAACTCTCTTCTTATCGCCAATTTTTTTCAACTTAGTGAAGACGTAGATAACAAATTGACAATTATTCTTGCTAATAGTATGCCATGGATCTTCCTTTTTTAATATGTCCCAGGGAGCTTTGCCGTAAAGATCAACGTCCAATATTACACCCTCAGGCATTCTCTCACCCTTCACTTTTCTGCTAAGGTAATGGAGGATTTCAACTTCTGTGGGGTCGAAGTGAAATCCTAGTGGAATGAAAAACATCTCGTGATTGGAAACAGATGAATTCATTGAGAAAAAATGGGACACCTTCCAATTACAGAAGAAGAAGGAGAATGATAGAGACGGTAGTTGCAGTGACGTAAAAAAGGTTGAATGAGAAAAAGAGGGCTCACAGAATTACGGAATCAAATACAGAGGAGCGATACAGAAGAAGAAGAAGAACACCACCACCGACGTGAGTTTTGCGCAGTGAATTGATTGAGGCGGTTTGCAATATTGGTAAGGTTTCCTCTGTAAGACTTGCAAGAAAAGAAAGACAAGTTTTGCGCAGTGAAATAGGTTTCCAATTGCGCAGTGAATACAGGTTTCCAATTGC